ATATTAATGGAATCAACAAGTTTTTTGATTTTTTTTATTCCATTGAGGAGATGAATTCAATTAGCTACTAAATTCATCTCCTCCAGCTACTTATTTACTTTTTATCTCCATTCTGGGAACGACTTCCAACTTACCTCATTATTTATATCGAAAACACCCTCTTGGATTTTTTCATAAATTTCTTTGGCTGTATTGATAAAGGCTTCCTCGACATTTGCCGCTGTGCGTGCAGAGGTTTCCATAAACACCAGACCATGTTCACGGGCAAATGCTTCACCTTCCTCCTTCTTCACCTCGCGTCGTGACTCCAAATCACTGAAAAATAAATAAGGAATACAAATATAAATCCAAAAATCTCAATGATACAACAAACATAAACAACTTACCTCTTATTACCTATCAACATAATGACCATATTTGAATTTGAATGCTGACGAGCATCCTCCAACCATGTTGTCAAATGATTAAATGTTTCACGTCGTGTTATGTCGTAGACCAGCAGTGCACCGGCTGCACCGCGATAATATGAACGTGTTATTGATCTGAATGCTTCTTGGCCGGCTGTATCCCAAATTTGCAACTTAATTTGTTTTCCATCAATGGTAATCATGCGTGCACCGAATTCAACGCCAATTGTTAGATCGTGCACGGGCTGGAAACGTTTATCGGTGAATTGGAGTAGGAGACATGATTTGCCGACACCTAAAAAAAATAAAAAATAAATTAATGTTTTTCCTTTTTATTCGACCTTTTTATGTTTTTAATGATAATAATGTAACTTGACGGAGTAGGAACGCTACACTAGCTTTAAGTTAATTATAAAAATTCAATTTAGTATTTATACACATGACTATTTCCCTGAAGATGAAATTCATTGAATTTCGAAATATTGGAAGATTAAAATAAATATAACAACAAAGACCTCAAGCTCGAAAAACACTTGTTTCATTAAAAAATAAATTTTTATTTATCATATATTTTATGTCTTATTAAGTGTATACAATTATTATAATCATTATTTTATTATAAAAAAGAAGAGTCATTATTTACCTTAATAATGAAATTTGAGCACAATATCAAAATACTTATCAATGGTAACCGGACATGAATCATCATAGGCCAATGACTTCAAAGCAATATTAATATTAATTTGCAGGGAAATAGAAGCTTTTTTGTGTTACTTTCATATGTGGATACATTTTAAAAATCAAATATCCCTTAGGTGGACATGGACATTGTGACAGATCGGGGCCAGCGTTTTATTCCCAGCACCATTGAGTGAAAATGTGTATAAGACCTTCTAAAAACCTAAAATGTTGGGGCTATTCAGGGTGAGGGCTATTCGATATGAAGAAGATCTCTATCATTACAGAAAAAGATTAAAACAAATATGGCGCCATTTTCAGAAAATAACTTTCCAAAAATCATGGACGATTCGAACAAAAATTGAACATAAGCCATGGGAGCTATCATGACATTATCTTGAACTTTATTGAAAATATATTTTGAGCGATACAAGCATAAATTTAATATTTTTGAGGACTCACTTGTAAAATTATGAAAAATCTTTAGATGGCCAATGGATTTTCAAAATACCTAAATTTGATGTTATGCACATACTAGAGCTTATTGAGGATATGAATTTTGTGTGAGGGACATTTTTGCCGCTGAAAAATTGAACTTGAACAAGTAAAAAAGCAGCTTAGTTCGAAGGAACTTGAAACATTTAAAAAAAATCCGAAAACTACCACTTAAATGAAAACCATTATATGAGGGATATACGAAGACGTGGTTGTACCCATTGTTGTAGTACCCATTAAGATCAATACGAAATTTGAAACGATTGCGGTGGATATTGTTGCTGAAATCATGAAAATACCGAATATCGGGAGGTACCGTTATATGGGGGCTGTACGAAGACTTGGACCTGCGTACAATTTTTTTTAGAGTGATTGCAACAGACAGACATACGGGCATCGCTAAATCGTCCTAGAATTTTACGCCGATCCAGAGTATATATATATTTTGTAGGGTCTATTATGAATATTTCGAGGAGTTACAAAAGGAATGACAAAGTTAATATACCCTCCATAGAATGGTGGACAGGGACATAATTTTACTACTTGCCAAATTACACCCACTTTGGTGGGAAAATGTTTTCCAGAGCTTTCAAAATATCTTCAAGAGAAAAAATTTTGGATAATTTGAAATTAATTAATTTGATTGAAAAAAGGATGTATCTTTTTTAATTGCTATGGAAATTGCAACACCAAATGGTTTGTTTAGATCTACATATGCTATCCAGATAGATAATACTTCATGGGATGTCTGATGGAATTGCAAAACTAATATCACTTTCCTCCAAATATGACAAATGGTATTAAATGTGCCGTGTAGCAGGACGATTTATATAATTAAAGTACTCTTCATTGTCTTGCAGTCTTCTTTGGAATAGTATTTCAATTAATTTACTCCAAAGAAAACATTATCCTAAAATGAGAAAAAACATCTCCAGAAAACTCTACCGATTCCTAGTGGGAAACATTTCTATTAACTGAAAAAATGTCCAACAAATTTCCTTCTCCTGTTGGTCTGAAAATCCTTACTGCAAATTAAGTTACCACAAAATTTAATTAACCATCCTGGTTAAAAAACTGAGATAAGCAAGTTCTTCCCTTAGTTCGTGTGCACAGGTTTCATTGCAATGACTCAAAATACATATACACTGCTTTAGGGATGAACCCAGTGAAATTTTTAGGGGAGAAAACAGCTGTTGTTGGGGGATACCAGCATATAATGATGAGAATATGAAAACATGTTTGACAGACAACACCCACAAATGGGAAATTGCTTAACGGGGTATGTTGTTAAGGGCAAGTTTAACCATGTAAACGAAAAGGAGGGTGGCTGGACGATAGGCAAATTAATTTCATACAGAGAAGACCAGACACAATGTATTATTACAACAACGTACATACTACAGGTTAATAAATGTGTATGCAGTTTATAACAGCAATATAAAACAAAAACAACAACATGCTGTGGGCCAAACTTTGGATTTCTGCTATAGGTATACAACAACTAACAAGCCAGCAGCTCATTGGATATGGGATTGGATCCACCAACCACCCCCTTTACTAAGAATATGCCATAGAAAACAGTCGTCATCGTCATCTGATACAACAACAATGATTGGGGACCAAACGGGGGCGCATTACTAGACTTACAGAGAGCGAACGACACAGAGAGACAGAGAGCGAGTGTCCAAATGACCAACAATGAAAACGAAAAAATATTGATTTTTCAACAATGACAGAAATTCTGTAAACTGTAACAAAGAAAATCCTCATATTTTAATCAAACAATAAACAAAAAGGGAAAATCTAACGACCCCCAATTGCAATTTGAAAGTTTGTTATATTTAAAAATCCTTGAAATATTTGCTTCCATATGTTTCTGTTTCCAGTTGAGATTTCATAATTCTGCATATTACTCAGGCCCAACACCATCAACAAAATTTAGTTATTTTTTTGCCAAATTTTCAGTTGTTGTTTTTCTTTTTTGTCGTGTTAATATTTATGGGGATGTTTTCGCTTACCTGTATCACCAATAATAATGTATTTGAATAAATATGCGTAAGACATTATTTTTTCTGTTCACGGGAACTTTTCTTTATAAAACTATTAAATATTTATTACAATTTTCGCGATTTCTCGAAGAATTATTATACCACTACGCAGTTCTCTCCGCCAGACTCTGAGAGTACGAAGGCTAGATACTTAATTAACGGCGTAGTCTGTGTTGCTAATCGCTTAAAAATGATAACATGTTTTCCGCAAATCATAGAAAAATGATAACACAGTTCACTGATAATGAAAATTATAACCCATCTGCATTAACAATGCATTTTTATAATTAAAATAATTGAATTTTTAATAAGCGAGAAAAATCAGTGTGTTTTTCCAATAGAAGTATTTTTTGAAGGAATAAAAAAAATAATTACCAAAATCGATTAAAGGTCTTTTTGACACAATAACATGTAAGTATAGAGTTGACATTTGAAAGTTACAATATCTTACTTGTCCTGGCATGTTTTTAGCATAATTTAAAATTTCTTTAGATTTACTTTTACATTGAACATGTCAAATACTACTCTGTACCATTAAATGTAAGAATATATTAGTTTACCAATTTTCTTCTATATCATAAATAATTATGGTAGTAAAAAATTACATTCTTGCAGTTCTGGAGCAGACCATATATCAAGCCCATAATTGCCCTGTTCCAGAACCTGCAGGGATCTGCTATTTTTGCAATTTTTTTTCGATACCATAAGGGAAAAATCGGTTATCGAAGTAGAAATTTTACATTCTTGCAGTTCTGAAACAGACCAAATGCCGATGTTTTTAAACTTCAAAGTTGATCTGCTAAAAATAGAGTGTACTAATTTTGAATTTTGTTCGATATAATTAAGGAACATTCTGTTATCGTAGCAAAATTTCTATATAAGTTCTGCAAAGTTTGGACCTAATCAGCACATTTTTTCTCAAAATTTTATCAGACGGAATGTATTTTTACATATGTGCTGTCAATTTTATACGATTCCCCAATATTCTTTCTTGCGTTATAGTATGATTTCAACTACACGAATATTAGCCTATGGGGCTTATCATTAATTTACTAGAATTACTGGTCTGTTCCAGAACTTGCAGGAGTCTGACGTTTTTGCCATTTTTGTCCATATCATAAAGGAAAAATCAGTTATCAGAGTAAAAACTTTTACATTCTTGCAGTTCTGAAACAGACTAGTAATGCTAGTAAATTAATGATAAACATCAGAGGCTAAATTCGAGTTCTATGGAATATTAAATGAAAAATATTTCCTTTATTATTGAAAAAAATTGAGAAATATTTTTTTAATGAAAATTTAAAGTTTTCCAGATATTCCTTCTTCCGTTATGACATGACAGCTATACGAATATCGGATAACCACTACCATAAAACTTGGCCATCTGGCAACATTGTTACAAATACACATAATTGTCAAACGTCAAACTAAAAGAAGAAAAAGAGATTTTTCATCGTTTGTACAGAAATTATATCTTGTATTTTTGATTTAATAAAAGAATTAAACAACTTTTAGCAACATTGTTAGGGTCAAGCGACAGGAGAGCCTAAGGAAAACATGAAGATGGCTGATGGTGCGACAATTGTGCGTAGAAATAGACCAGGAACAAAGGCGAAGGTAAGGGAAAAACGACACGGACCAACCGACAAGACAATGACAGACAAACAAGAAGAAAACAGAAATGTATGGGAAGAAGACAAAAAGAAGACTACTCAACTCTCTTTGCAATGTTTAGGATTTTTGTCGGTGGCCAGATGAACCATTGGAAGAGATGGACAGCACTTTGGCCGTTCAACAGTATATACAGCAGCTGATTAAGCGTGATCCCTCAAATGTAGAGCTAATATTGACAATGCCCGAGGCCCAGGATGAGGGTGTTTGGAAATATGAACATTTAAGGTGAGGCCCTCTAATATGTTATGACGTGATTGTGCGATCATATTTTGATTTTGTTGTCACCAATCAATTTATTGTTGTTGTTAATTTCTTTTTCTTTTGCAGGCAATTTTGCATGGAGTTGAACGGTTTGGCGGTGCGTTTGCAAAAGCAATGTTCACCATCAACGTGCACACAAATGACAGCCACCGATCAATGGATATTTTTATGTGCTGCCCATAAAACACCAAAAGAATGTCCTGCCATTGATTATACACGTCATACGCTAGATGGCGCTGCATGTTTATTGAATAGTAATAAATATTTTCCAAGTCGGTAAGTTGGTAAAAATGATGGAGAATAATTATTACATTTTTAATGTTATGCATTGTAGATTGAAGTGTTTAATGGTATTATTTGTAGTCTCAACGAATAAGCACTGGAAAAAGAGTTGAACATTATTTTTGTTGCAAAATAGGAAATGTGAAACTGGACGTTCATAAAATACGACGAATGGAATGAAAAAATTATCAAGACATTAGGTCAAACTTCCTGTTCAAAATAGAAATTGCCAGATTTTTTTTTAGAAATTGGATTGCTGTACAACATGACTACGGGCAAACCAAGGAAATTTTTCCTTCTTTCCTGTGAAAGTTATATTTATAGCAAGAGAATAAATTTTTTTCTAAAGAAGACATTTGATTAACATGGAAGGGAAAACATTAAAAGGATTGTGAAAAGACGATATCTATATTTGTTATATAACCTTCAATCAAAACAAGACTTGCGAAAGGTCTTTGTCTATGATCTAGGATCCATTCTAAGGTCTATTGATTCTATTTAAATTTATAAACAACGGCGAAACGTTTCTGCCTATAAAAAAACTAATGGTTTGAAAAGATTTAAATTAATTTATGTCAATATTTAGTTTGCCAATGTGGCATTATTTAGTTTGCCGAAGGCATTATTGATTTAAGCTTTCTACACCAATTTGTAAAAATTAGGTACAATGCTGCCTGTACCTCATTCAAAAACTTGTTCCACTATTTTAAGCATTGTTGCAAACCTATGCAATCTTCTTTTTTTTTGGGTTGTGCCTATTTTAATTTCTTTAAAAAAAACTTGACCTTCATGATTATTCTTCGAATTTTATAATATTAAATTTTTTCTTTCTTTTGCAGAGTCTCAATTAAGGAGTCATCAGTTACCAAATTGGGTTCTGTATGTCGTCGTGTCTATCGAATTTTCTCACATGCATACTTTCATCATCGTCGCATTTTCGACGAATTTGAGGCTGAGACATATCTATGTCATCGGTTTACACATTTCGTAACAAAATACAATTTGATGTCAAAGGAAAATCTTATTGTGCCCATCAATGAGGAAGAAAATGCTGCGCCCGGAGAAAGTGAAGCTTAAGCACAGTAGCGGTAGTAGTATAGCAACACGTATCACATCTCCAAAACATACAAGTACATCATTAACAAAGTATATTCGAAGCGATGACATATAAAACAAATATGGTGCTGGAGGCGCCATCAACAATGCAGAAAATTGAAATAGGAACCTTGTTAAAGAGAGAGAGAGAGAGTACATACATACTCTTACAAATCTACAAAAATAGAACATCCTGTAAAATCTCTAGGAGGATTCACAAGAATAAAAGCAACAAATCCCTTAAAAACTAAACTCTTTTTGCAAAGTATGTTCACAATTATTAAAAGGGATTTTTTCTTCTAATTTTAGAGATTTGTTGGAAATGTATTCCGAATTCAAACATCATCCAACACAACAATAATAAATTCCTTAACCAATTGCGAAAACAGAAAAAGATTGAACCAACAACTATTTAAAGAAATAATTTATTACTTCTATAACAAAACCTAAATCACTCAAAAAGCCGTTCGTTTTTAATTTATTTTATAAACTAACTTTAAATTTTAATATTTAATTTAATTATTTGCAATATTCAAAACCCATTTCATGGTTTATTCGCCAAAACACATTTGTCCATTTCCCTTATTTTTCATCGATACAATTGCTAGCATTTTGTTTTAATATTTATATTTAAAGAAAAAAAAAAACTAATAAAATACTACAATATTAAGAGAAGAGTCATGAGTAAGACTTGAAAAGGAACAAAATTCGAAATGAAAATTAAGAAAAAAAAAAATATATATATATTATTGTAAATCTCATTACATCATAGTCAAGCTAAAAACAAAAACCATATGGAAAAACTCAACAACAACAAGTGAACATAAATTGATGACATAGTATTTAAGCTGTATGCAGAAACACAAAAATGGAAAATATATTCAACTCATTTATTTAATAGTCTCACAATTAAAACTGTGAAAACCCAAGCGAAACAAATTATATAAAAGAAAGAGAAATGAAAGATTATAAATAAAACTTCAATAACATGAACAAATTATCAAAATAATGTTATGCGAGCTTCATCTGGCTAATAAAGATGACATCGAAGTCTTCTAATTAGGCAGAAAATGTAAAAGTTATGTCCTGGTAAGTGTCGCATTTTTTATTTGTATGGCTAATATTTTTTTACAAAATACTTTTTTTTTGTTATAGCTTTACAGGAAACATATAATTTATCTTGAAGACATATAATTTATCAAAAAATAGTTTTAAGAAAAAACAAAATTCACGACTCCATGGCTTGTCCGGCATCGGCAGATTTATTGTTGTTAGCATTGCTATTTTGATTTTGTTGCCTGGGTCCTCGATTTTGTTGAGGATATGGCCGTCTTCTTTTCGACGAATTACTGGATTTATTTGGCTGACTTCCACTGGGATTGTTGACATTTGTAGCGTCATCGTTGTTTGTCTGTTCATCATTGTTGTTATTTGTGGATTGCTGTGTTTGCTGCTGGCGTGGCCTTTGGGGCCTTCTTTGTTCTTGATTGCCATCTTTACGTGGCCTCTGATTTCTACGAGAATTCTGAGAGTTGCCGCCATTCGATTGCTGATTATTTGAACTGTTGGCATCGTAGATCCAAAAATCTGTTTTACTATTGGGTTTTTGTAGCCTTTGGAGGGAGGGGTGAAAAAATTAGGTTATTTTTAATGGCTACAAAAAAGTATATGACTTACCCCGCAACGTTGTCATCGATTGGTTCCAGGCTCATGTATATGTGTAGCGAAGGTATTTGTCGATGGGCCACGATTTCCTCCAGTCCCTCCATTTGCGGCTTCCAATGTTCTTCGACGCTAAAAAAAGTTAAATACCAAGGTTTTCTAGAATTTGTTTTTTTTCTTTGAATATTGTAAAAATTTTAGATTTTTGAAAAATCCGGTAATGAAATCATTTTTAATATTATTTAAAAAAATATATTTTTTAAATGTTTTATTAAAAAAATATTTTTTATTTTAAAAAAGTGATTTATTTTAAAAAAGTATTTATACGGAGAAGTGAAATAAAATAAATCGTTAATAAAAATTATTATTTAAATTTTTGAAAAATGCGGTAATAAAATACTTTTTTTTTAATATTTTTTAAAAAAATATTTTATTTTAAAGTATTTTTTTTCTCCAAAAAAAAACAATTATTTTAAGAAAATATTTTATTTAATAAAAATATTTATATGGAGTAGTGAAATAACTGACTGACCTGAGAATCAACGCCTAGACGAAACGTCTAATGCTAGAATCTTAAAATTTTGCACGAAGGCCAGTATTGGTGCGTAGACCTGTGATAAGGCTGGGTTTTTAGAAATTCGTACTAAAAGGGTACACAAAGTACTAAAATGCACTAAAATTGGAATACTTTCTAAATTTGGAATGAGAGTCACTGATTTTTGGAAATCTAAACGTTTTGAACGAGAAGTTTTAAAAAAGTACCATTTTGTATTATGTAAACGAATAGAGCTAGAAACCAAGGTACCAAGGAAAAGTATGTTTGATATACAGGGTGAGATGAGAAAACTGCAACCAACTTCAGTCACTCGTCCGATAGCTGTTAAAATTATTCCAGCGACAGCTTATTATATTGTTTACAAGCGTACAAAAGCATTTTGGTGAGAATTTTCCAGAAAAAATTTAATCGTGATGAAATTCAAGCGTGATAGTGTGATTTCTTTATATTTGGCTGGAAAACCACAGGTGGCTATCGTTAGAGCACTCTAGCAATTTCATGAGAATATATTTTTTGTGTCTCGTATCACCGTGATACTGGACGGAAGAAAACAGCAACATCAGCAGAAATGTGAAGAAGCGACTTGATCGAAACCAGCAATGGCTTGTGAGCTGAACATATCGCAATATTCCATTAGGCATATATTGAAAAATGAGCTCGGGGTAAGGCCATTGAAATCCCAAAACATACCAAAGAGGTCAGCTAAAAATGTGCACCTTCGGTTGGCCACCAGAACCTAAGCGCCGGTCATGGTGATGGTCGGTTGGGGTGCCATAACAGCCGATTGTCGCTCTCCGCTCGTATTAATCGACCGTGGCATCAGAATAAATGCCGAATATTATCGCGAAAATATTCTGAAGGGTGCATTAAAGCCTTGGGCACGCAAACATTTTGACCGCAGACCTTGGACATTCCAACAGGACTCAGCACCATCGCACTCAGCACGCGACACCCAAGAATGGTTACACAATGAGGTTCCTCGCTTCATTTCCAGTGCACAATGGCCACCAAAATCTCCGGATACAAATCCGTTGGGCTATTGTGTCTGAAGTATTTTGGAAAGCAAGGTTGGCACTAAACAATACCAAAGTATCGATCACCTCAAGCAAGCGCTTCGCCAGGAATGGGCTAAAATACCACAGAGCAACATTCGGGCAGCGTGTGGTGGTTTCATTGGCCATTTGAAGGCCATAATTTGTGCCAAAGGTGACAGATTCGAATAAATCTAAACCTATTCTAAAATTGTATGCTATTTCCGAAATCTTTCGATTTCATTCAATAAAATTAATTAAAAATTTGGTCCTAAGAGATCTAAAATCGGATCTAAAATCGTTATTTCGATGAATCATATTTTGGCCGTATCAAATGATATATACCCTCTCTAGCCATATGGCTGAGGGTATAAAAAAAATTAAAAAATATAAAAAAAACAATATTTTGTTGTTGAAATAAATATTAAAAAAATATTTTAATTTTTTTGAAAAATTTATAATTTAGATTCTAAATTCTTAAAAAATATTTCCAAAAATAATTTTAAAAGACGACGAATAGGGCACTAGTTCAAAAAAAAAAAAAGAATCTTTACATTAGAATAGAATAAGAAGAATATATACATTTTTTTGAAAAATATTTAAAAAAAATGAAAATAATATAATATTCTGTGGCAGAACCAAACCAAAATGTGTATGTCCAAATATGTGTATGTCCGAAAAAATCAAATATTCCAACAAATATGTATCATTATTTTAACTTCCATTGACCTTGCAAAAATATATCTTCAAAACAATTTAGTATAATACAAACCTAGTATAACACATTCTGGTGACCTGATACAGGGGATATGAACGTTTAATGATTTCGGCACAGGATATGGTTTTAACCACCCCACCGCCATGACCACTCCAAACAATGTTTTTGTGTTCGCCCTTGTCGAGAGCATTCTTGGCATAGGTCACCACATTGTTGACCTTTGTGCCACCGTTGACCTGTGGGGAAGGATATTTATTTTTGGTGTTGAATTTTTATGTTCCAAAAATATCAGCACTCGAAACTTACATGCATCCATAAGAAATCACTGCCTTTGGGTAAAAAGTCTTCGAAAGGTAGGTCATCTTTGGTCAATGGTTTTTCAACGTTTTCACCTTTTCGATAGTGCATCATTTTTCTGCAAAAACGAAAAAAAAAATAGGATTATTTCGGGATTGATTTCGTATAATTGTAAACATCCATTCGCATTTTTATTTAAGGATATACGTATGTATGTTCGTGTGTGTTTGATTTATAGAATAATAATCAGTTCTACCCATCATAAATTGAATTATTGCCCATCAAATAGTTGACAGCTTCAATAGCCGTGACACGATGACAAATGCCTCCGACACCGGCCGATGGAAATTCAAGGAAACACAGAAAAGGAAATTCAAAAGGCCATTGAGAGCATCATAAAAATAGCAAAAGAATTTCTTCGGCATTCTTTGGAGGAAGTCGTAAGCATTTCTTCTTCGTTTTTGTCTCCCTCTTTTTTATGGCCAGCTAGAGGTTATGACGTCGGATTGCTCCTTCTTGGCAAGTTGTGTAAATGCCCGCCCACACACACACGCACGTACCCACGCTCAGGGAGTTTTAACACATGACAGTGGAATGTTGGGCGGTACAGCAATGACAGTGAAAACTAGGCCCAGCTAGCAGAGGGAGTTTTTCTTCAGTTATGACATTGGGAAAATAATTCAAAAACATTTTTTCTGGGAAAATGGGAAAATGTAACTCCGTATTTGAGATTTATTCTGTCATATAGACTTATAAAGGATGAGTACATTTTTAAGATCGATGCCATCGTCCTACAATGAAGACAAGGATGGGTAAGGAAAAAATTGCAAGTATACATATGTGGTAAGGTATCAGAAGAAATAGTCCGATCTCTACCAATTTTGTAGCAGATCTTGTGCTGATGGAAATATTGAGATGTACCAAGTCGGAATGGAATCGGATGTAAATTTGGCGTTTTATGAGCTTCATGGATATTCAAAATTTTGACCCTTTGTGGGGGAGGTACCAGAAGGAGTGGACCGTAGAAATAATGGGATGTGTGAATTATGAAGAGAACCGGATGCGTATTTCGGATTTTATGATCGTTTTGGTTATTCAAAACTTTGACCCTTTGTGTGGGAGGTACCGGAAGGAATGGTCCGATCTCTATCAATTTTATAACAGATCTTGTGCTGATGGATATATTGAGATGTGTCAAGTCTCCGTGGAATCGGTTGTTAATTTCACGTTATATGAACTTCGTGGATATTCAAAATTTTGATCCTTTGTGGGGGAGGTACCAGAAGGAGTGAACCGAGATATTCCATTTTCACGCAGATCTTGCGCTAGTAGAAATAATGGGATGTGTGAAATATGAAGAGAACCGGATGCGTATTTCGGATTTTATGATCATTTTGGTTATTCAAAACTTTGACCCTTTGTGTGGGAGGTACCAGAAGGAGTGGTCCGATTTGTACAATTTTATAACAGATCTTGTGCTGATGGATATATTGAGATGTGTCAAGTCTCCGTGGAATCGGTTGTTAATTTCACGTTATATGAACTTCGTGGATATTCAACATTTTGATCCTTTGTGGGGGAGGTACCAGAAGGAGTGGACCGATATAGCGCATCTTTACAACAGATCTTGTGTTAGTAGATATAATGGGATGTGAAATATGAAGAAAACCAGATGCTTGTTTCGGATTTTATGTTCGTTTTGGTTATTCAAAACTTTAATCCTTTGTGTGGGAGGTACCAGAAGGAATGGTCCGATCTCTACCATTTTTATCTCTACCATTTATTTTTCACGTTATATGAACTTCGTGGATATTCAAAATTTTGATCCTTTGTGGGGGAGGTACCAGAAGGAGTGAACTGAGATATTCCATTTTCACTGCAGATCTTGCGCTAGTAGAAATAATGGGATGTGTGAAATATGAAGAGAACAGGATGCTTATTTCGGATTTTATGTTCGTTTTGGTTATTCAAAACTTTGACGCTTTGTGTGGGAGGTACCAGAAGGAATGGTCCGATCTCTACCAATTTAATAACAGATCTTGTGCTGATGGAAATATTGGGATTTAACAAATTTGAATGGAATCGGATGTCAATTTCGCATTTTATGGCTTCATGGATATTCAAAATTTTGACCCTTTGTGGGAAGGTACCAGAAGGAGTAGACCGAGATATTCCATTTTCACAGCAGATCTTGTGTTAGTAGAAATAATGAGATGTGAAATATGAAGAGAACAAGATGCTTGTTTCGGATTTTATGTTCGTTTTGGTTATTCAAAACTTTAATCCTTTGTGTGGAAGGTACCAGAAGAAATGGTCCGATCTCTACCATTTTTATAACAGATCTCGTGTTTATGGAAATAAAATTTTGACCTTTTGTGGGGAAGGTACCAGAAGGAGTAGACCGAGATATTCCATCTTCACACCAGACCTTGGCTTAATAAAAATATTGAGATGTGTGTAATTTGAAGACGATTTGAAGACAAATTACATCACATTTTATAAGAGTAATTGATGAAGTGGACCGATATTTTCCATTTTCACACCAGACTTAGCAATGATGCTAATATTAGGATTTATAAAGTTGGAGCAAAATCGGATTATCCTTTCTCGTTCTTTAAAAGTAAATTATTTTCTTTGAAAATTTCGATCTTTTGTGCCCATCTGCGATATTGCCCATCTCCGAACTCGATCTAAGTTTGATAATAATATTACGATGTACCAAGTTATCGTGCGAAGCAGCCAGACAGACGGACGGACGGACATCACTAGATCGACTCCAAATATCCTGAAACGGTTTTGGTTCAAAGAAACCTAGGGTATAAAATTTCGATTAGTGCGCTTTTGCCGTAGCAAATGATATGTATATACCCCCTCTAGCCATATGGCTGAGGGTATAAAAATGTTTCTTTAGTTCAATGTATACATTCGACTCGAAATGGCAAGCCTTGGACGATATTTATGATGAGATTAATAACATAACTGAACTTTTCTATGGGATTTCTACGATATTAAAAAGCCCCGAATAGGGAGCCTTCTTTGGGTGAATACATATTACTCCTTTCTCCCCTCTCTCTCTCTCTCTCTCTCTCTCTCTCAATCATAACTCTTATGTACCCAGAGATTATAAGGTATTTATTGTTGTACGCTCTAGCGGTTGGTGGTTCCATTCCATTTGCTTTCATTTTGTTCTATCCCACTATTACCCACACCCCCTCCACCATCTTCTCCGAATGATTTATTTCATTCACTGGCGTAGATAATTGTCGGGGAAGTGGCTTTGACACGTCCTTGTGTCTCTGTTGACACGTGGAGGTTGAATATTCAGCGTTCTAATAAATTTCAACAAGAGAGTCAGTCCTTTTATTGATCTGAATATGCAGTACATCTGTGTGTGTGTGTGAGTGATTTTCTGTGTATATGGGTTCTGATAAGAAATCGATGTTGAAAAATAATTAAAACAGTTCGACTATTCCACTTATCGATTCATTGTGGTGATTGCGGTGTTTTCCGCTGTTTGCCTTCCATTGCTCGTCAAGTGTCAAGGAAATTTGCCGCTTGGCAAGAAGTAGTTGTAGTTTCATAATTCACAATGTGCATTTAAGGATGGTAAGAGGGTAATATATCCTCCCCCATTGCGGGTGCATTGAAATAAGAATTCAACAAGTGTTTGCATATTTCTTACCCCTGATTGGGGGGAGGATGGGATGTAAAAAACAAACAGTTATTAGAATTTATTAATAATTAGAAATTGAGAATTTATGAAATTGAATTCTAGGAAGTTATGCGTTGTTGGCAATGGGAGAGAGGCTGTAAAGGATGGATGTTCTTTTTAACAGAAACGGATTGCTTGTGCAGGCAATAGCGTAACTAAACTATGCGACGAAATGATATTAATGTATTATTTCTCTTTGGTTAAAAGGCTCATAAGGCATATTTGGTGTGGATGATGGCTTACATGATATCTCATCTATAGCGATTCGTTGACCCCTCAGCTCGTCCATAGTGACTCCCTGGCCTTCAGCTCGTTTATAGTGATCCCTGGTTTTCAGCTCATCAATAGCAACACCCTCACCCTTCAGCTCGTGTATAGCCACACTGTGACACTTTAGTTTTCAGCTTATCTATAAAGATTTCCTGGCCTTCAGCTAATCTGAAGCGCCTCCGTGGCCTTCAGCTCGTCTATAGAGATTTCCTGGTCTTTAGCTTGTCTAAAGCGGCTCCCTGGCCTTCAGCTAGTCTAAAGCGCCTCCCTGGCCTTCAGCTCGTCTATAGAGATTTCCTGGTCTTCAGTTTGTCTAAAGCGCCTCCCTGGCCTTTAGCTCGTCTATAGAGATTTCCTGGTCTTCAGCTTGTCTAAAGCGCTCTCCCTGGCCTTCAGCTCGTCTATAGAGACTCTCTGACCCTTCAGCTCGTCCATAGTGACTCCCTGGCCTTCAGCTTGTCTAAAGGGACTCCCTGGTCTTCAGCTCGTCAATAGCGACTTCCTAGACCTTTAGCTCGTCTATAGCGACTTTCTGGCCTTCATCTGGTCTTTAGCAACTCCCTGGTCTTCAGCTCGTCTATAGCGACTCTCTGACCCTGCAGCTCTTCCATAGCGACTCCCTGGCCTTCAGCTCATCTATAGCGACCCATATGTCTTCAGCTCGTCTATAGCGACTCCGTGGCCTTCACCTCGTCTATAGCGACTCCCTGGTCTTCAGCTCGTCAATAGCGAATCCCTAGGCCTTTACCTCGTCTATAGCAACTCTCTGGCCTTCAGCTGGTCTATAATGACTCCCTGGCCTGCAGTTCGTCTGGAGCGACTCGCGGGCGATTTTGAACAACTGGCACATACGGCACTAGATACGGACTTGGAGTATTTGGTAATGGTTGTTCGGTTCTGTAATCGAACTTATAACCTCAGCCATATGGCTAGAGAGGGCCAAAACGTGCCTCATTGAAATAACGATTTTAGACCCTAAGTCCCTTTGGACCAAATCCGCTTCAGGACATTTGGAGTCGATCTAGCGATGTCCTTCCATCTATCTGTCTGTCTGGCTGGCTGGTACGCACGATAACTCTCGAAGGGAGTATCCAATTTGATTCAAACTTGGTACATCGTAATATTATTGTCAAATTTAGATCGAGTTCGGAGATGAGCAGTAGCGGTCCACTCCATCTGGTACTTGCCACACAAAAGATCAAAATATTCAAAGAAAATAATTTGTTGCACCGAAAGAGAAAGGAAAATCCGAGTTTGCTCCAACTTTGGAAATCCTAATATTTCCATTGGTGTTACGCCAGGTGCGCAAATGGACAATATCGGTCCACTCCATCCAGTACCTCCCCCACAAAGGGTAAAAATTTTGAATAATTATAACTCTTACAAAATGTGATGTAAGTGTCCGATTGTCTCCAAATTACACATATCACAATATTTTTATTAACCCCAGATCTGGTGTGAAGATGGGATATATCGGTCCACTCCTTCAAGTACCTCCCCCACAGACGTTAAACATTTTGAATATCCGTGAAGCTCATAAAACGCAAAATTAACATCCGATTCCATTCAGACATAGCATATTTCATTATTTCTATCAACTCAAGATTTGTTATAAAGATGATAAAGATCGGACCATTCCTTCTGGTACCTCCCCCACAAAGGGCCAAAGTTTTGAATAACCAAAACGATCATAAAATACGGAATAAGCATCCGGATCTCTTCAAATTTCACTCATCCCATTATTTCTACTAACACAAGATCTGCTGTAAAGATGGAATATATCGGTCCACCCCTTCTGGTACCTCTGGCGATACCAGTCACTGTGGATCGTATACATGTTATTAACACCCATACGTCATGGTGCACCAGAAGAGGATTTGGAATTTTTGGTAATTTATTATTAGGTGATTGGAATTTTTTTTGCGGTCGATTTGAAACCGAAAGATCATCAAAAAAAAAAAAAAAAAAAAAAAACATGGAATTGAAAAACATGTCGAAGTACAAATCGATTTTTCCTACAGAACAGCTTTTCTTTTTGGAAGATGTATCTCCATTCTTGTGGAGGCATATTATTGTGTTCATTTCAAAACGAATAATCCCCCAAACTGTAGGGGGCGCTTGACAAGTACCGAAGCATCTATTTTTAGAATATTATGTGGTCATAAATACAATAAAAACACATTCCTGTTTTCAAATTCCATTCTCAAAATTTTGAGTGAATAACAAACCCTGCCATTGTCATTCAGGCGAAGGATGAAAACGTTTAACGATTCAAAAGAAACATTTGATTATTGAATAAATAAAAAAAAAACAATTATTCTAAATACATGCCCACACCTCACCCCCATTCCGCTGTCATAACTTAAAATTTTGTAAAGGAATTTGACAAGTTAAGAAATCGATTTCAAATTCACACTGGCATCATCATCCATGGATTCGTAGTTCATCGAAATAACTATGAGTTATGCATACTTAAGTGTGAAGCCACCAAACAGAATCCCAAAAGTCAGATAAAGTCAACCACAAAATAAGAAAAATAAGAAGAAAAAAGACAGCCTCCCCCACCACTAGTCAGCTAGTCAGTCAGTTATTCTAATTCCAATGCGGTTGCCTCACACCCAGCCACAGATGAGCAAATGATGAATGAATTTCCAGACATTTTGGGGACTTTACATTCAAACACGCACCAAGCCGAGGGGAGGGGGAGTAAGAGGTGGCTGAAAGGAGCGTTGTCTATGACTCTATAATTTCTACTGTCATAATTTAATAATACTTTTGAATTAACGACTTTAGGCTCTCATTCCAAGAGATGAATAATCAAATCGGACGTGTCATCGTCTCTCGACACACACACCCACACCAACAGCACCACAAATACTACCGCCACAAAAAAAAAAAAAAGAAAAAAAAAACGACAACTTGTTGATATCTCTACAAACATTCGGGCTGTGAAATTTGTTTCCGCGGCCTACATTGCAACTCAGCGAGAACCTCTAATAGACTGGCTTATCCTTTTTGCCTTTGAAGTGGGGGTTATCTGTCAGGAAGTCTCGATGGCGTATCTATATCCCCGGTTTAAATCCATTTAACATTGTAAGAGATATAATTTGTTAGTTAAGCGTTTAAAGACGCCAATGATAAGTGGTCGCCTCCTTTCACAAGTAGTCCTTACACTGGGAGAAAAATAAGTGGCAAATTGTTAAGATTGTCGTTTTTTTTTTTTTTTTTTTTTGTAAAAAAGGTGTAGTTTTTAAAAATACATTTTTTCGGGGATCAAAAAAGTATTTTTTTAAAGGTTTTTATCTGAGAGAAAAAATGTGGATATTCTAAAAAAGTATTTGTTTTAAGAAAGCAATGTGGAATTAAACAAGTTAAAAAGTATCAGTCGGTTTAGCCGTCAGATGTACAGGGTGAGATAAAAAAAAACTGCAACAAAGTCAAACGCCATTTTTTTAATTTTTTTTAAATTCTATTGAATGAAAGCAAAAAATTTCGGAAATAGCATCAGATTTAAGAATAAGTTTAGATTTGTTCGAATTGATCACCTTAGGCACGAATTATGGAATCGTAATCGGAATTTTTTTAAAAAATCCTGGTTTTTAGCCTTAAAAAAATATTGAAAAAACGTCTTGTGATCCTTAAAAAAAATTAAAAAATCGAGTTTTAGTCCTTTAAAAAAAGAAAAAAGTCTACGTTGATTGGTCCTAAAGAAAGTGTTCGTCGGTCTTGAAAAAAAAAATGTTGTTCCCTGGAAGGTCATTGGAAAAATATTCTTAAAAAAATTCACATTTCTTGGTCTAAAGGCCCTTGGAAATAGATTTTTTCAAAAAAAAAATCATGTTTGTTGGCTTGAAGGTTCTTGAAAAAATATCATTTAAAAAATGCCAATTTATTATTCCGAAGTTTCTTTGAAACATATTCTTAAAAAACCCTCGTTTGTTGGCCTGAAGGTCCATTGAAAAAATTCTTTAAAAATCCACGTTGGTTGATCTGAAGGCCCTTGGAAAAATATCCTTAAAAAAAAGGTCTCAAGGCCCTTGGAAAAATATTATTTAAATAATCTGCGTTTGTTGCTTTAAAGTTCCTTGGGAAAATGATGTTAATAAAAAAATTTGCGTCGCTTGGCCTAAAGGTCCTTGGAAAAATATTCTTAAAATAATCCTCATTTCTTTAAAAATTCCGGGTTGGTTGATATGAAAGCTCTTGGAAAAATATTCTTTAAAAAGTCAACATTTGTTGGTCTGAAGGTCCTTGGGAAAATATATTCATACAAAATCAACGTTTGCCGGCCTGTTTGTCGTGGGGAAAATGTGGCAAAAATCATCAAAATACCAAATATGGGGAGGTACCGCTATATAGGGCTATACAAAAACGAGGCCCTATACATACAATATTTCGCCACACGAACTAGGACCCATTATGACCTACAAAAAACAATTTTCAGACAAATCCGTAAAAAAAAAAAATGTGGCAAAAATAATCAAAATACCGAATATCGGGAGGTACCGTTATATGGGGATTATACCAAAACGTGGACCTATACATGTAATGTTTCGCCACCGGAGCTAGAAGCCACTATGATCAACAAATAGCAATTTTTAGACAAATCCATGATAAAATGTGGCAAAAATAATCAAAATACCGAATATCGGGAGGCACCGTTTTTATACCCTACACCACAGGGTGGTCAGGGTATTATGTCTTTGTGCATTTGTTTGTAACAGGCAAAAGGAAACGAGATAGACCCATAGTTCCTTTTGATGATCTGCATAGAATCACATTCTGAGCCGATTTATGCATGTCCGTCCGTCCGTCTGTCCGTCCGTTTGTCCATGTATTTTTGTAAACAAAGTACAGTTCGCATTTATTGCCCTATCCAGATGAAATTTTGCACAAAGCATTTGTTTGGCCCAAGGACGAACCCTATTGAAATTGGAGATAATCGGTCAAAAATAGAATATAGCTCCCATATATATTTTCGTACGATTTGCCTATTATTGTGCACCATACGTGTAATATCAGTCCGAAAAGTATGGAATTTTGCACCTACGATCAGATTGGACCAGAAAATAAGTATGCCAAATTTTATCGAAATCAGTTCAGATATAGCTATAGCTCCCATATATATATTGTTCATCCGATTTGTTATTTTTGTCCTCCGCAGCCGTAATATGCACCCTGTAACAACAATATTTGGGAAATATATCAAATGCAGCTCATAAATACATTTCCTAAAATTTTATCGAAATCGGTTCAGATTTGGATACAGCTCCCATAGATAACTTCCTCCGATTTACCTTTGATTTTGCACCAAACGTCGAATATTTCACCAAATTGGATGAAATTTGGCATTTACGACCGAATTGAGTCTAGAAGTTAGTATGTCAAATTTGGTGAAGATCGGTTCAGATATAGCTATAGCTCCCATATATACTGTTCATCCGATTTGTCATATTTGTTACCCACAGCCGTAAGATGCACACCGTAACAACGATATTCAGGGAAATATATCAAATACAGCTCAGAAATATCTTTGCCAAATTTATAATATATAGCTCCCATACATATATTTTTCCGATTCCAAATTAATTGTGCACAAAATGGGCAATACAAGTCCGAATTTAAAAGATACAAATGCTTCGGCATATTTAGTCCTTTGAACTTTAAATTATAATTATAATCATAGCGTGTATGATTGAAATCTCCCATAAAAACGTTTAAGTGTTATGCGCAGCTCTACTAAATTAGCAAAGTGGTGTAGGGTATCATAAAGTCGGCCCCGCCCGACTTTAAGACTTTCTTTACTGGTTTATACTAAAACGAGGACCGATATATCTCATTTTCAATACCAACCATCCTAGACACAATTCAAATTATTCTGCTAAATTTTGACGCCCTACGTCAAATAATGTGGCCTGTATCGTGATTTCAACAGACAGACAGGCAGACGGACATCGTTAAATCGGCTTAGAATTTTATGCTGATTATGAATATATATATATATACTATGGGGTCTACGACGAATATTTAGGGATATTACAAACGGAATGGCAAAGTTAATATACCCTCCTTTTCAAGGTGGAGGTTATAAAAATATATAGATTTAAATAAATATTTTAAGAACCAACATACATGTGGATATTTTAAGAATATATTTTCCAGGAGACTTGATTTTTTTTAAAAAATATATATTTGTTTCATCAGATAAACCTCTTTGAGTGTAGAATATTTTGCTGCATTTTTTTTTTTTTTTTGGTATCCTATCCTTTTCCATTGCCTTAGCATATTTTCACGAATTCCTTAATGGGTGACTGTGATGATTTCCCTGCTCCCCCATCCAGGATGATGACTTCTTTTGAGGGGTTCAGTGGTTGGTTGGTTGGTTCCTTTGGCTGCTAGGATTGTTGGCGTTGGAAATATTTGTGCTTAGAAAAGTCTTGGCGAATTAAATTCCCCACATTTGTGTGGGTCGGAGTTTTGTTTTATGTAAAAGGAAGAAGAAGACGCTGAAGCTGCAGCAGAGGCAGATGGAAAAAAAATACTGAGCAAGTATTGACATCCTTCAAGTCCAAACACTTGTGGAATTGCTTGGTTAACATTGGACATAAACGGGAGTGTGCGTGTGTGTGTTTGTATGTGTGTCCTGGATCCTGGCATTCTTGTTGTTGTGATTGAATGAATAAAAGTAGAAGAAGAAGCGCCAAGAAGAAAAAAACCCGAACGAAATAAATTGGAATTGAAAGTACAACACCACAAATATTTCGTTCATTTACTGGATGCTGCTACTACTTTTTGGTGTCATGCTCCTTGTTTTGTTTTTGTTGTTGCTTGGTTGGCTTGGTTAGATGTTTGGTGTCAGTGGCTTCCACTGATGATGCTGCTGTTGATTCAATGATGATTTCTATTCTAGCTGCCTTCAGACGCATCTCTCTATTAACTTACGGATGATGCTACGCATAGCACATATTTTTATGTACTACCGTTTCCACGCCCCTTGGCCCGCTGTAACCCACCCCTGGCATTCGCACACAAACATCATGCAAACATCCAAAGGATGTTGGATAGAAAAAAAAACGCAAGGATACCGAGTTAACTTTTTAAGGAACTGTCGAAGCATAGATCAGTTGAGTTTCAAACGCGTTCGCAAACGGTTATCGGCCCAGCCAGCAAAACGGATATTGACCAGTGCAGAAAATATTGAATTTGGAAGAATTTCTATTTGGGGGAAATAAATTTTAGTGCAGTGTAAGATGAGTTAGATTTTTTTTTTGAATAAAAAATAGAAAAAAAAAAAAAATACAAAATAATAAAAGTCAACAATTAAAAACCAATTTATGGAAATTTAGTGGATGCATTTCAAATAATTAAAAAGAAATAAAATCCAACACAATTTAAAAAAAAAATCCTGTGCGGATATTGAAAAATTAAAAAAGGAAAATAAAAAATATGTAAAACCACAGCAAACATTTTTTTAGTGATTTTAAAACCCTATTCTAAACAAATTCTCAATAAATCGCCTCTATAATCGGAAATTTTTTTAAAAACTCCTGATTTTTGGCCATTAAGTACTTATATAAAAAAACGTCTTATGATCCTTAAAAAAATTTAAAAAATCGAGTTTTAGTCCTTTAAAAAATTAAAAAAGTCTACGTTGATTGGTCCAAAAAAATCTGTGCGCGTCGGCCTCTGGAAAAAATTAATTTTGTTTCCTGGAAGGTTATTGGAAAAAATTTTCTTAGAAAATTCTTGTCCTGGAGGCCCTTGTAAAAGCCTTTTGTAAAAAATCTTGTTTGTTGGCGTGAAGGTCCTTGAAAAAATACCCTTAAAAAATCTTAAGTTATTGTTTCGAAGGTCCCTGGAAACATATTCCTAAAAACTCCTCGTTTGTTGAAAAAATATTGGAAAAATATTCTTTAAAAAATCAACGTTTGTCGGTGGGAGGGTCCTTGGAAAAATATTCTTTAAATAATCCGCGTTGGTTGGTCGGAAATATATTCTTTAAATAATCCGTTTTTTTTTGTTTTAAAGGTCCTTGCGAAAATTATGTTTAAAAAATTGGCGTTGGTTGGTTCTTAAAAAATTCGCGTTGGTTGGTCTGAGGGTCCTTGGAAAAATATTTTTTAACAATTCCACGTTAGCAGGTCTAAAGGTCCTTGGAAAAATATTCTTTAAATAATCCTAGATTGTTGGTCTGAAGGTCTTTGGGAAACATTCTTTAAAAATACACGTAGGTCCTTGAATCCTTGAAAAAAATATTCTTTCAAAATCGATGCTTCTTGGTCTGGTGAGCCTTTAAAAAAATATTCTTAAACAATGTACGTTGGTTAGGCTAAAGGTCCTTAGAAAAAATTCACGTAGGTCCTTGAATCCTTGAAAAAAGATTCTTTCAAAATCGATGCTTCTTGGTCTGGTGAGCCTTTAAAAAAATATTCTTAAACAATGTACGTTGGTTAGGCTAAAGGTCCTTAGAAAAAGTTCATTAAAAAAATCAACGTTTGTCGGCCTGTAGATCAATGGAAAAATATTTTTTAAAAGATTTCCAGTTATTGGTCCGCAGGTCTTTGGAAAAATATTCATACAAATCCACCTTTGTTGTTGTGAAGGTCCTAGAAAAAATACTTTTTTAAAAAAATCTCGTTTGTCGGTCTGAAGGTCCTTGGATCCTTGAAAAAATATTTTTTTAAATTCAATGCTTCTTGGTATGGTAATCCTTGAAAAAATATTTTAAAAAATTCACGTTGGTTAGTCTGAAGGCGTTTGAAACAAAATATTCATAAAAATCAACGTTTGTCGGTCTGATGGTCCTTGGAAAACGTATTTATAAAAATTCTCGGTGATGGTCGTCGAAAATTTTTCTTCAAAAATTCCCCACTTATAAGACCAAAAGGTCTAAAGATCCATGGTAAAACAAATCCACGTTTGTTGGTCTGAAGGTCCCTAGATCCTTGAAAAAATATTCTTTCAAAATCGGTGCCTCTTCCACGTTGGTTGGGCTGAAGGTCCTTGGAAAAATATTTTTTTAAAAGATATCCAGTTATTGGTTCGAAGGTCCCTGGAAATATATTCTAAAAAAAACAGGTTTTTTGGTGTAAAGATTTTTGGAAAAATATTTTTTTTTTAAAGATTGACTTTTTTTGGAGTGAAGGTCCTTAGATCCTAGAAAAAATTTTCTTTTAAAATCGATGTTTCTTGGTTTGGTGATCCTTGAAAAAATATTCGTAAAAAATCCACTTTGGTTGGTCTGAAGGTCCTTGAAAAAATATCCTTTAAAAATCAACGTTTGTCGGTCTGAAGGTCCTTGGAAAAATATATATTTTTTAAATTCCTTACTTATTAGTCCGAGGGTTTTTGGAAACATATTCTTCATAAAATCCACGTTTGTAAGTCTGAAGGTCATAGGAAATTTTTTCATAAAAAAACAACGTTTGTCGGACTAAAGGTCCTTTAAGAAATATTTTTTTAAAAAATCTGCAGTTATTGATCCGAGGGTCCTTGGAAACATATTTTTAAAAAATCTACGTTATTTGGTGTGAAGGTCCTTGGAAAAATGTTTTTTTAAAAAATGCACGTTCGTTGGTCTGAAGGTCCTTGGATCCTTGAAAAAATATTTTTTTAAAATGGAAGATTCTTGGTCTGTTGGTAATTGAAAAAATATTCTAAAAAAATCCACGTTGGTTGGTCTGACGGTTCTTGGAAAAAATATTCATAAAAAATCAGTGTTTGTCGGTCTGAAGGTCCTTGGAAAAACACTTATTTAAATACTTAGGTTTGTTGGTCTTAAGGTTTTTGGAAAAATATTATTTAAATAATACGTTTGTTGGTCTGAAGGTCATTGGAGAACTATCCTTAAAACAATCAATGTTTGTCGGTCTTAAAATCCTTGAAAAAAAATATTTTTTAAAAAATCTCCAATTATTGGTCCGGAGGTCCTTGGAAACATATTCTTAAAAAACCCCAGTTTGTTGGTCTGATGGTCCTTTTTCTCTAAAAAAAATCCACTTTGGTTGGTCTGAAGGCCCTTGGAAAAATATTCCTGAAAAAGTTCACGTTTGAAGTTCTGAAGGTCCTAATAAATCCAATCAACATTTGTCGGACAGAAGGTCCTTGGAAAGATATTATTTAAAAAATCCACGTTTTTGGTCTAAAGGTCGTTGGGAAAATATCCCTGAAAATTCCACTTTTGTCTGACTGAAGGTGTTTGAAAAAATATTCTCTAAAAATCCACTTTGGTGAAGGTCCTTGGAAAAAAAATCCTGAAAAAATTCACATTCCATGTTCTAAAAGTCCTTGAATAAATATTCTTTAAACAATCCACTTTGATTGGTCCGAAGGTCCTTTAGTCTGAAAGTGCTTGGAAAATATTTCTTTAAAACCTCCACGTTTGTTGGTTTAAAGGTCTCTGAAAAAATGCTCTTTAAAAAATTCAGGTTTGTTGGTCTGAAGGTCCTTGGAAAATATTCTTTAAAAACCCACATTTGATGATCTGAAAGTCCTTGAAAAATTCACGTTTGCTGGTGTCAACGCTCTTGGAAAATACACTTTGAAAAATCCAATCCAGTCTGAAGGTCCTACGTTTTCTGGGACCTAGGAAAAATAACCCTTTAAAAAAATCCACATTTGTTGATCTAAAGACTATTCGTAAAGGACTTCAATCATTTTCAACCTTCAAATTAGAATTTTCAATTTTCCAGTAACTAAGCAGCCCCAACATGGACAGCAATGAATTTCGCAAAAGAGGTGCCGAAATGGTCGAATATATTTGTCAATATCTGGAGACTCTAAATGAGAGGCGCGTTACGCCAAGTGTGGAGCCAGGATATTTACGCCATTTATTGCCAGGTAATAATTTTTGAAGAAAATTTTATTTTATTTTAGGAATTTTAATTTTGATTTTGTTTGCGAACCCCTAGCTGAGGCCCCCCATGAACCGGAGGATTGGGACAAAATAATGATGGATGTCGAAGATAAAATCATGCCAGGTGTCACCCACTGGCAGCATCCCAGATTCCATGCCTATTTCCCGGCGGGCAATTCATTTCCCTCCATCTTGGGTGATATGCTGGGCGATGGCATCGGTTGCATTGGCTTCTCGTGGGCCGCCAGTCCGGCCTGTACGGAGCTGGAGACAATTGTGTTGGATTGGTTGGGCAAAGCAATTGGTTTGCCGGATCATTTTTTGGCATTGAAAGAGGGCAGCACGGGTGGTGGTGTTATACAGGTGAGTAGGTGGGGGGGGTCATTGTATGCGGCTATAACAATGAGGTATGGGGGTTTCTTTTTTTCTCCAGACATCTGCCTCTGAATGCATTCTGGTCTCGTTGTTGGCTGCCCGTGCCCAAGCCATAAAGCGCCTGAAGTCACAACACCCCTTCGTCGAGGAATGCCTTTTGCTGTCGAAACTAATGGCCTATTGTTCCAAGGAGGCCCATAGTTGTGTGGAGAAAGCTGCCATGATCTCATTTGTAAAGCTGCGCATCTTGGAACCCGACGAGAATGCCAGTTTGAGGGGAGAAACACTGAGACAGGTAAGGGGTAATTGGGATTTTCATTTATTTGTGGAAGGGAGTTGTGGGGTTATGTTATTTATGCAAAGCCTGTGGGAGGGCTTCCAGGTCTGTGGTCCAGAGGTGTACTTCTACTAATAGCATACTTGTGAACGTCTTCTATTTATGGAAGACCTGTGAAAATTCTTCTAAAGTTAGAGGACTTTAGAAGGCCTCAAAAAGGTATTCTGAATATAGACGATTTTTGGAAGGTATTTTGTCTATGGAAGGTATTCTGCCTACATCTCTAGAAGACCTGTAGGGGATATTCTATCTATAGAGAACCTGTGGAAGGTATTCAGTCAATAGAAGACCTGTGGAAGGTATTCTGTCTATAGAGAACTTATGGAAGGTATTCCTTCTATAGAGAACTTGGGAGCAATTATATCTATAGAGGATCTATGGAAGATATTCTGTCTGTAGATCTCTGGAATGTATTCCATATATAGAGGACCTGTGGAAGCTATTCTAGTATAGAAGACCTGTGGACGATATTCTGTCTTTTGAAGATGTGTGGAAGGTATTTTAAGTATAAAAGACCTGTGGAAGGTATTCTGTCTACAGAATATCTCTGAAATGTATTAGATATTCAGTCTAGAAGACCTGTGGAAGGTATTCAGTCTACAGAAAACCTGTGAAAGGTATTCTATCTATAGAGGACATGTGGAAGGTAATCAGTTTATAGAACACCTGTGGAGGATATTCTGTCTTTTGAAGATAAGTGGAAGGTATTCTAAGTATAGAAGACCCATGGAAAGTATTCTGTCTATAGAGAACATGTGGAAGGCATTCTGTTTACTGAAGATCTCTGAAATTTATTTATACATAGAGGACCTGTGGAAGGTATTATTTCTACAGAAGAGCTCTGGAATGCATTACATATATAGAGGAACTGTGGAAGGTATTCGGTCTATAGAAGACATGTGGAAGGTATTCTATCTATAGAGGACCTGTAGAAGGTATTCTATCTATAGAAGCCCTTGGGAGATATTCTCTTTTTTGAAGATGTGTGAAAGGTATTCTAAGTACAGAAGACCTGTGGAAGGTATTCAGTCTACAGAATACCTGTGGAAGATATTCAGTCTACTGAAGACCTGTGAAAGTATTCATGTCTATAGAGAACATGTGGAACATGTTTACCTGTGGACGGTATTCTATCTATAGAAGTCCTGTGGAAGATATTCTGTCTTTTGAAGATGTTTGGAAGGTATTCGAAGTAAAGAAGACCTGTGGAAGGTATTCTGTCTACAGAAGAGCTTCGGAACTGTGGAAGGTATTCTATCTATAGAGGACATGTGGAAGGTATTCAGTCTATGTGAGTCCTATGGAAGGAATTTATATATCAAAGGCCTTTGGAAGGTGTTCTGTCTGTAGAAGACCTGTGGAAGATATACTGTCTTTTGAAGATGTGTGGAAGGTATTCTAAGTATAGAAGACCTGTGGAAAGTGTTCTGACTATAGGGACTTGTGGAAGCTATTCATTCTAATGAGAACCTGGGAAGGTATTGTGTTTACAGAAGATATCTGGAATTTATTCTATATATAGAGGATCTGTGGAAGGTATTCAGTCTAGTATTATATCTATACCTGTGGAAGATGTTCTACCTATAGAAGATATTTTGCCTACAGTATACCTGTGGAAGGTATTTGGTATATAGAAGACCTGTAGAACATTTATTTTTGTTTTTTATTTTCATATTTTCCCCCTTTCCCTTCCAGGCCATGGAGGAGGATGAACTGCAAGGATTTGTTCCGTTTTTCGTGTCGACCACCTTGGGCACCACCGGATCCTGCGCCTTCGACAATTTGTACGAAATCGGACAAGAATTGAAGAACTTCCCCGGTGTTTGGCTGCATGTGGATGCCGCCTATGCTGGCAATTCATTCATTTGCCCCGAATTAAAGCCGCTGTTGAAGGTGAGAACAACGCCAAAAAATTTTTTGGAAATTCCAAACTTCTTAGAAGTGAGGTGTGAATTTTTGTCTTTATTTCTGTTCTTTCCGGTTTTTTTCTTCTTGTTTTCTTTCCAGGGTATTGAATTTGCCGACTCATTCAACACCAATCCCAACAAATGGCTCTTGACAAATTTCGACTGTTCAACGTTGTGGGTAAGAGATCGTATCCGTTTGACGTCGGCACTGGTCGTGGATCCGCTGTATCTCAAGCATGGCTATTCGGATGCCGCCATTGACTATCGCCATTGGGGAGTACCGCTGAGTCGACGTTTCCGTTCGCTGAAATTGTGGTATGTAGGGGAGTTGGGGGTTTGGTTGGCTCCGATATGAATTCCAAAATTTTTGTTGTGACTTTTTGGGTACGTCTTCCCTCTTTTGTTTACCGTAAACATTTGAGTTTTTTTTTTTTTTTTGACTTTTTTCATCTGCTGTGGCTTGGTTTTGTTTACAAAAGATTCTACGTTGTAGCAAAAAAAAAAAAACAAAAATCCAAAGGTGTTGAATTCCCAACATTTTTTCACGCTTGTCAGAAAAACAACAACAACAACACCAACAAATTGTTGTTTAGGTATAAAATTTTTGGTTTTTTTTTTTTGTTTATTGTCTTGTTTTCTGCCTGTTTGCCAGGCCGATTCCGTGATAAATAATCATAATTCTATTTTAATATTTTTATTGCTGTTTTTGTGTCCTCTCTTCTTTTCTGCAGGTTTGTCTTACGCTCCTATGGAATTTCCGGCCTACAGAAGTACATTCGCCATCACATCGATTTGGCCAAACGATTCGAACAACATGTCCTCAAGGATAAACGATTTGAAGTGTGCAATCAAGTGAAGGTAAGTTAAGAAAAAAAAATCAGGATCATAGATCTAATAGTCAAAAGTCATCAAAAATATTTTAAACTTATTCCACAAGTATACATGGTGGGATTAAAAAATACTGCAACTAAGTCAAAGGCCATAATTTTTACATTTTTTTAAATGTTAGGCAAAAAAAATTTTCGGAAATAGAATGAGTTTAGATTTGTTCGAATTGGTCACCTTTGGCACAAATTATGGCTTTCAAACGGCCAATGAAACCGTCACACGCTGCCCGAATGTTGATCTTCCATATTTGGGCCCAATCCCCTCGAAGCGCTTGCTTGAGGTGATCAACACTTTGTTAGTTTTTAGTGCCAACCTTGCTTTCCAAAATAATCCAGACACAATAATGCAACGGATTGGTATCCAAAGATTTTGGTGGCCATTGAGCGCTGGAAATGAAGGGAGGAAAGCGAGAATTTTGTAGCCATTCTAGGGTGCTGAGTGCGATGGTGCGGAGTCCTGTTGGAATGTCCAAGGTCTGCGGCCAAAATGTTTTGCGTACCCAAGGCTTTAATACACCCTTCAGAATATTTTCGCGATAATATTCGGCATTTATTCTGATGACACGGTCGATTAATACGAGCGAAGAGCGACCGTGGCCGGCACTTGAGTTCTTGTGGCCAACCGAAGGTGCATATTTTCAGCTGACCTCTGTGGCAAGTAAACACGATCATTTTGTTTGCTCATAAACTGCAGGACAACGAATGTTTTCTCAGCGGAGAAAACCAAATTCGGCAGTTCACCATTTTCGGCTAAGCGAAGTAACTCTTTACCTCTTTGGAGTCTATTTTCTTTTCAATGGCTCTACCCCGAGCTCATTTTTCAATATTTGCCGAATGGAATATTGCGATATGTTCAGCGCTCGAGCCATCTTTCGGCCACTGCGACGCGGTTTTCGATTTTAACTTTTCGAACCATTTTTGCTTCCGTCCACTTCCTTGACGTCGGGTTACGCTACCAGTATCGCAGAACGATAACGAGCGATGGTACGAGACACAAAAGATTTTGTTCACATTTAAATGCTGGAGTGCTCTAACGATAGCCACTTGTGGTTTCCAGCCAAATATAAAGAAATCCCACCATCACGCTTGAATTCCATCACGATTAAATTTTTTCTGGAAAATTTTCACCAAAATGCTTTTGAACGCTTGTAAACAATATAATCAGCTGTCACTGGAATAATTTTAACAGCTGTCGGAGGAGTGGCTTAAAAATCACAGCAGTCTGAAGTTGGTTGCAGTTTTTTTTTATCTCACCCTGTATTTTTTCTCAACCAGAAACCTAAGATAAATATGGAATTTATCGGAATCCATGATTTCGCATAAAATTGGATATAAATGTTCGATTTCCTGCAAATTTTGCACATGCCAATATTTTTATCTGCGTTAGATGAAGTTGGAAAACGGAACACCTTCGGTCTGCTATATCACGCATGTTTCCACATTTTCCAAAAACTTGCACATATCTCATACAAATGATAGGAAGTAGTCGATATAGTCCAAATCTGTCACATTGTTATATTTATATCAGTCTTAGGTCAGATAGGACCAACTACTTCGGAACCTCCTCCATAAAGAGTCAACAGTTTGAATTATCATGTCATCTGTCGGCAAAAGCGACAGATACTATTTTACACGTTTTAATCTAAATTTTTGGCCCTTGGAAAAAAATATTCCTTTAAAAAAATCCAAGTTTATTGGTCCTTATTTTTGCTTAAACCACATTTGTAGGTCCTTGGGAAAAAATCTATTAAAAAAAATCTTGTTCCATATTTAACTTTTTTTTAAATATTCACGTTTGTTGATCATGGAATCTCCCAAAAAAAAATCTTTCTGAAAAATAAAACACTTTGATCTGCCTCCCAACCCGTTTGCATTTCGATATGGCCACAATATCAACTGCAAATCCATACATGCAAATAATCTCGTAGACCCCACAAAATAATAACAAAACAAAATAAATAAATTTCATTAAATTTTGCAACAATTTCATCATAAGTCGCATTTCATTCAATACCAATCCGCTTGAGAGTTGGTAGCCAATTTGGCTACCAAAAAAAAAAAAAAACCAAAAAAACTATTATCAAATTGAGAGGTAGTTAATGATTGTGATTTCAATTAAATTGTTTAGTTTCAAAAAAAAAAAAACAAGATGTCTACACAAAAGACAGTTCATACAAAAGGGGGTGACCGCCTTAGGACAAAGCCTGACACTCGAAACGTCAATGGACGGCTGACTTGTCATGGCTCAAGGCTGGCGGTCATATTCAGAGCGGTCTACGTCTATTTGGTTGATTGTTTGTTTTCGTTTGCGTTGTCGTTTCACATGTCTTTAATGAGTTTTTAAAGAAATTGTTAACACATGTTGGCTTCACACTCCATGCCGATCGACCCAATCGATCGTACTCTGCCAAATGCCAGAAAACACTTCAACCAATGCAAAATATTTCGTCGTTGTTGGTTGGGATTTTTGAAAGCTTAACCTGTTTACCCCCATTAACGCAGAATTCTATGAAATACCCTGTAGAATGGCTGAGAAGCCATTTATTGATAGTGCCAGGGAATCGGAAGTAAAATTGCCAGAACGGGGAAGAAATTAATTGTTTTAAGGGAGAGATTCTTTTTTGCCCAAAAAAAGTTGTTTTTTATTTCAAAAAAATTTTAGAATTTGAGAGTTTCGATTTTCATGGAAATAAAATTCCACCACACATATTTTCATTAAAAAACCAGTAAAGAAAGTCTTAAAGTCGGGCGGGGCCGACTTTATGATACCCTACACCACTTTGCTAATTAAGTAGAGCTCCACATAACAATTAAAAGTTTTTATGGGAGAATTCAATCATACACAATTTAAAGTTCAAAAGATTAAATATGCAGAAGCAAGCACAAATAATTTGAAATCGGGTAAAGGTATATATGGGAGCTATATCCAAACCTGAACCGATCTCGATAAAATTTGGCAAAGATATTTTTGAGCTGTATTTGATATATTTCCCTGAATATCGTTGTTACGGAGTGCATATTACGGCTGTGGGTAACAAATATAACAAATCGGAGGAACAATATATATGGAAGCTATAGCTATATCTGAATCGATCTTCACCAAATTTGACATACTAGCATCTAGACTCAATTCGGTCGTAAGTGCCAAATTTCATCCAATTTGGACAAATGTTAGACGTTTGGTGCACAATAAAAGGTAAATCGGACGAAGTTATATATGGGAGCTATATCCAAATCTGAACCGATCTCGATAAAATTTAGCAAATGTATTTTTGAGCTGTATTTGATATATTTCCCCAAATATTGTTGTTGCATAGTGCATATTACGGCGGTGGACAAAAATAACAAATCGGATGAACAATATATATGGGAGCTATAGCTATATCTGAACCGATTTCGATCAAATTTGGCATACATATTTTCGGGCCTAATTTGGGTGTATATGCAAAATTCCATACAATTCGGGCTGATATTACACGTTTGGTGCACAATAAAAGGCAAATCGGACGAAGATATATATGGGAGCTATATCTAAATTTTGACCGATTATCTCCAATTTCAATAGGGTTCGTCCTTGGGCCAAACAAAAGATCTTTGCAAAATTTCATCTGGATCGGGCAATAAATGCGACCTGTACTTTGTTTACAAAAATACATGGACAGACGGACAGACGGACGGACGGACATGCATAAATCGACTCAGAATGTGATTCTATGCAGATCATCAAAAGGAACTATGGGTCTATCTCGTTTCCTTCTGCCTGTTACAAACAAATGCACAAAGACATAATACCCTGACCACCTTGTGGTGTAGGGTATAAAAATTAAGAAGTAATGAACTAATTTATTGAAATATTAAATTAACAATTATTTTTCTCCGAAAAAAGAAGATCTCAGTTTTTTATATTTCCATCCATGGAGGGAATATTTTTATTTTGCCCCAACTCAAAATACACGTCGGATACCTTATAAACACATTAATGATATGCGTATAATCCAACCATATCCATATAGCTATGTCAATTTACGACCAGTTTTTTTTTTTTGGCACAGTACAGGGTGAGATAAAAAAAAACTGCAACAAAGTCAAGCTCCATTTAAAAAAAATATATATAAAATTTTATTGAATGAAAGCAACAAATGTCGGAAATAGCATCAAATTTTAGAATAAGTTTAGATTTGTTCGAATTGGTCACCTTTGACACGAATTATCGCCTTCAAACGGCCAATGAAACCGTCACACGCTACCCGAATGTTGCTCTGCGGTATTTTGGCCCATTCCCGGCGAAGGGCATGCTTGAGGTTATCGACACTTTGGTATTTTTTAGTGCCAACCTTGCTTTCCCAAATATTCCAGACAAAACAATACAACGGATTGGTATCCGGAGATTTTGATGGCCATTGTGGCCTGGAAATGAAACGAGGAATCTCATTTTGTAACCATTCTTGGCTGGCACGTGCTGAGTGCGATAGTGCTGTGTCCTGTTGGAATGTCCAAGGTCTGCGGCCAAAATGTTTACGTGCCCCAGCCTTTGATAAACCCTACAGAATATTTTCGCTATAATATTCGGTATTTATTCTGATGCCACGGTCAGCTGTTATAGCGGCCCACACCATAACCATGGCCGGCGCTTGAATTGTGGTGGCCAACCCAAGGTGCACATTTTCAGCTGACCTCTTTGGCAAGTAAACACGATCATTTTGTTTGTTTACAAACTGCTGGACAACGAATGTTTTCTCATCGGAGACGGAGAAAACCAAATTCGGCAGTTCACCAAGCAACTCAACGAAGCTACTCTTTAGCTCTTTTGAGTCTATTTTCTTTCTGTTGCGTTGTAAGTTCTTGCACTTTATGGAATTTCAATGGCTTTACCCCGAGTTCATTGTTTCAATATTTGCCAAATGGAATATTGCGATATGTTCAGCTCACGAGCCATTTTTTCGGCCACTGCGACGAGGGTTTCGATCAAGTCGCTTCTTTACTTTCCGAACCATTTTTGCTGATGTTGCTGTTTTCTTCCTCCACTTCCTTGACGTCGGGTCACGCTACCAGTATCACGGTCCGGTAACAAGTGATGGTACGAGACACAAAAGATTTATTCACATTTAAATGCCGGGGGGGCCCTAACGACAGCCACTTGTGGTCTATCCAGCCAAATATAAAGAAATCACACTATCACGCTTGAATTCCGTCACGAATAACTTCCTTTTTTTCTGGAAAATTCTCACCAAATTGCTTTTGTAGGCTTGTAAACAATATAAAGAGCTGTCACTGGAATAATTTCAATAGCTGTCGGACGAGTGACTTAGAAATGACAGCAGTCTGATGTTGGTTGTAGTTTCTTCATCTCACCCAGTATATCGACGTTTTTCGACAATCTTTTCACTTTAAGTACAATTCGTACTTTTTGGTACGATTTTATTTATGTTCAATTTTTTTTTTTACTATTTTGGGCCACCGAACCGACGACCAAAGCTGCCAAATTTAATACTCATCTTACATTTGTAATACAAATTTCCAAAATCACTTATCTCAACTCTACACCTCCACATTTCGAACATCAATGGTACCAAAATCGGTAGGAATAATTTTTTTTCTGTTGGAAACTCAAAATCAATCTCCTTTCAAAACCAACCAAACAACACTGATCTTAAAATACCAATTTTATAATTTGAAGCCCATAACATTTTTACAAAATTTAGTGCTGTTTGTACCCTTAAGGTAGGTTAAGGTCTAAAAGCACCGCCTTTCTCTCAAACCATCAAAACCGCATACCATTTCTTACAACAAATTTATAAATTTTTGTTCACTGGTACCAAATTCCGTGCACTTGTGGTACAAAAATTACTAGAGCTCCATGAACATACCCAATTTCATATTCCATTATTTTTCACAACTCTCCCCTTCATTTTGTACTTTTCGTATTCTTATAGTACGCCAGATGCAATCTTTGTTCCTCTTGTCAACGTTCTAGCCTCATTCGTCCTTATAATATAAATTGTATCGAATTTAGGACTATTTCGTACTTTTCGTACCCAAATGCCAAACACCATATGTCAACTACAGACTAATTTGGAACCCCATATAAAATTTCAGAATATTATCTCTATTTATTCCCACAGTACCATTGGTTTCAAAATTTAGTACAATTTCGTAGACATGTACCAAGTCCTCTCAAAAATCTTCCTATTTGAATTTCACACAGTGACAATACTTGTAAAATGTAAATTTCGACATGTTTGCAACATTCGGTAATGAATTTTGTACATTTCGTACGTTTTGTACACTAATTGTACGGATATTATAATATGCCTCCTCATTTCAAAAATACACGCAAAAACAATCTTTGTTCCGTATTTCATATTTTTAGCCTCATTGGTCCTTATAAAAGCAATTGTACCAAAATTTGGACTATTTCGTACTTTTCGTACCCAAAGGCAAAAAATATAAGAAGACATTTCCTAATATTAAACACAGAACAATAGTGAACTCCATATCGAAATTCAAAATATTAACTCTATTTATTCCCCCCCAGTACCAATGGTTTCACAATTTGGTACACTTTTGTACACATGTACCAAGTCCAAGTCAAAAATCTTTCTATTTGAATTTCACACATTGACAATACTTGTAAGATGCAAATTTCGAAATGCTTGCTTCATTCATGTCCTTTGAACCAATAGTAATGAATTTCGTTCTTTTCGTACGTTTTGTACACTAATTGTACAGATTTCATAATACGCCTTCCCATCTCAAACCTACACGCCAGAAGGAATCGTTGTTACGTATTTCACATTTAGGCTAATAAGTCTAATCATTGGTCCTTATAACACTAACTGTACCAAATTTGGGACTATTTCGTATTTTTAGTACCCGAATGTTAGAAGACATTTCCAGATATTAAACACAAAACACTAGTGAACTGGATATCAAAATTTAAAATATTATCTATATTTATTACCCCAGTATCAATGATTTCACAATTTGGTACAATTTCGTACACATGTACTAAGTCCTATAAAAATCCTCCTAATTGAATTCCACACAGTGACAATACTTCTAAAATAAATTTCGAAATACTTGTTATATTTGCATACCTTGTACAATGGTACCACAATTTAGTACTTTTCGTACACCAATAGTACGAATTTTAATATAAGCCTCTTTAACTGAAACCTCCACTCCGCTCCAGAAGCAATCTTTATTCCATATTTCAAGATTCTATCAATCTTATTTCGGTATTTCATGATTCTGGCCATATTATTTCTTCTAATCGTAAATGTACCAAATTTCGTACTATTCCGTACTTGTTGTACCAAAAAAATAGAGATCAAAATTTCTTAATTTTGATTCGTTGTTTGTCAAATTTTAATTGTTTTGTTTATCTCACATTGTTTGGAGCTGTCAAAACCGATGTTATTGTCTGTCAAACATGTTTATGACATGTGTGTGTGTGTGTCTGTGGCTGTGCGCACAAGAAGTGGAGAGAGAGAGAGAGAAGTGGAAGCAGACACACAGCGAAAAAAATACGATTTGGTCTTGTAATGAAGACCATAGAAATCCAATTAAATTTTGGAAAGGCCAAAGTACTTGAGGAGATGATGAATGGTAAATTTCCCCAGAATAATCAACATTACCAACGAGCGATGTACGCGCGGTAGTGTTTGCATGGCAGACTGTGAGGCATTGCTGCTGATGAGCTTGTTTGCGTTGGTGGCAACATTCAACATTTTGATTTTTTTTTCATAATTGTAAATATCCAGTCAATACTCGATTTGAAACATCAATTTCGCCCCAGAAGCAGACAGCTAGACTACTGGTCAGTCAGGTTGGGAGAAAATAAATAAAACGCCCACCACCCAAGCATGGCCAATAAAATTTTTCGATATTTTTAGCGATTATGTTTTGAATACAAAACGATTTTGAAATGAAAGTACTTGATTCATACATGTCGGTCTTTGGGTAAAGAATTCGCAGAGGATCGGGGGAAAGTATTCTTGTAGTTTCATGTTTATGGGAGGGTTAAGAAGAGAGCAAGGCCTCGGAGTAGAGGTTGGAATCAGTAGCTAAAACATTTTTATATTCGGTAGCTAAAACCTTTCCATATTCGTTTTTAGGGAGAGAGTAAGGCCTCGGAGGTTGAAGTCAGTAGCTACTTTAGCTATTTTCCATATTCGCTTCTAGACATCCATTTAAATGCCCAAACTCCCTTCTCAATTCCGACCCTGGTAGAAAAAATCGACCTCAACTCCCCCGACCCGAACCCTCAATGAAAGCAAGAAATTCCAAAGCAACTACAAAACAAGTTACAAAATATCAGTCGGTTTTGCCGACAGATGTATACCCTCAGCCAATGTTCGACTATTTAAATATATTTTGACTTCTGTTATGATCATTCAGATTGTTGACCCTCTATTGAGGGTCAAAGGAATGGGCCAATATTGCCGATTTCGCATAGGACCTAAATAAATATGATATAAATATTGCCATGTGCCAGGTTATATGATATTTTTCGAAAATGTTGAAATGTTCAGGATAATATAAGAGATCCAAGTATTACAATTTCATACATTAGATGTAGCATGAAAATAGAATACAGATATAAATATTGGTAAGGGTAAATTGACAAGAAAAGTCGAACATTTATATCCAATTCTATGCGAAATCATAAATTCCATATTCATCTCAGATTCCTGGTTGAGAGAAATATTTAGTTGTAGAGAATCACAGACTTATTTCGCAAGTTATGACAGATAAAAGTATAGAAAATTGCGACCCTTCGAGTGTAAGGTACCAGAAGGGGTTCTCAGATATATATCATCTTCACAACAGATTTTGTGTTGGCAAACATGTTTGGATGAGTGAAATTTGAAGAGAATTGGATGTTGATTTCTCTTATTTTTCAAAAATCTTGAACCTTGTGTGGGGGAGGTACCGGAAGAAATGGTCCGATCTCCACCATTTTTATAACAGATCTTGTGTTGATGGAAATATTGAGATGTACTCAATCTGAATGGAATTGGAGGTTAATTTCGCAATTTTTGACCTTCATGGATATTCAAAATTTTGACCCTTTGAGGGGGAGATGCCAGAAGGAGTGGAGCGATATATCCTATCTTCACATAAGATCTTTAGTTGGCAGATATAATACGATGCGTGAAATATGAGGAGAACCGGATTTATATTTCGGTTTCTATGATCCTTTTGGTTATTCAAAACTTTAACCCCTTGTGGGGGAGGTACCAGAAGGAATTGTCCGACCTCTACCATCTTTATAACATATCTTGTGTGGATGAAAATATTGAGATGTGTCAAGTCTGAATGGAATCGGATATTAATTTCGCGTTTTATCAGCTTCATGGATATTCAAAATTTTGACCCTTTGTGGGGGAGGTACCAGAAGGAGTGGAGCGATATATGCCATCTTTACACCAGACCTTGGATTAATAAAAATATTGTGATGTTTGAATTTTGAAGACATAACATCACATTTTATAAGAGTTATAATTATTCAAAATTATGAGCCTTTGTGGGGGAGGTACTTGATGGAGTGGAAAGATATTGTCCATTTTCACACCTGACCTAGCACTGATGCAAATATTAGGATTTGCAGAGTTGGAGCAAAATCGGATTATTGTTTCTCTTTCTGTGCAGTGAAATATTATATTTTTTGAAAATTACGACATTTTGGTGGGGGGAGGTACCAGAAGGAGTGTACCGATATTGCCCATCTACGAACTCGCTCTAAGTTTGCCAATAATATTACGATGTATCAAGTTTGGGCCAAATCGGATACTCCCTTCAAGAGCTATCGTGCGCACTAGACAGACGACAGACGGACGGACATCGCTAGATCGACTCCAAATGTCCTGGAAAAGATTTGGTCCAAAGAGATTCAAAGAGACTTATTTTCGAATTTTACTATTTTTCCTCTTCCTTCCTTTTCCATGTAGCTTGGTTTGGTCTGTTTCCGTTTGCTGGGCTCCGATAAGTTAAATGAAAAACTTCTCAGCGCCATCAATGAATCCGGCAAACTGCACATGGTCCCGGCCTGTGTCAACGAGAAATATATCATCCGGTTCTGTGCTGTGGCACAAAATGCCACCGAAGAGGACATCGATTATGCCTGGGAGACCATTGTGGACTTTGCCAACGAGATCCTGGAGAAGGAGCAACACGATGAGCTATCCGAAATTATCAATCAAAAGAAGACGCACACGCTGGAGAAGAAACGTTCGTTCTTCGTGCGTATGGTCAGTGATCCGAAGATTTATAATCCGGCCATAAATAAGGCGGGCACGCCCAAGGTGTCGTTGGATATGGCCTCACCGGTGGCCGCGAGGGGCAGTAATCCGGTCATACGCACCCAGTCGTCGATTGATCACAACTCATGGATATCGTGGCCATTGGCGTTTTTGTTCAACAGCAATGATGACAATGGTCAGAAGAGTAATGTATCGTTGCGGTAAGTGAATTCCGAATCCATGTGCGATTTCCGAATTCCCCTAAGCGATTTGTTGTCCTTTCCCCTTAGCTTCCGCCACTTGGATACAAATGTCCGACCCTCGTCGTCACGCCGCAATTCCGGTGCCGGCTCCTCACCCTCGCCCGAGGCAGACCATGCCGCCAGCAGTGTGGTGAATATCATCAAATCGCCCAAGAAGTCACCCAATCTGATGCGCAAAGGCCTCTCCAGTAATGCCACTAATTCCAATTCCAATAATCAAAAATAAATGATTCAAATCTAGTTTTCACAGGCATCTCGGATCGGACCTGGTTGAGATAAAAAAAGACAAATGTGGCAAAAAAAAAAAAAAAAAATACAAAACAATTTTTCTCCTTAAAATTTAAATCGAAAAAAAAAAATTAAATCAAAAGTATCATGGCTTGAAATTACTTAACAACAAATAAAAAGTGAAAAGTTAGAAAAACAATTCCAAAACACTCACACATTCCCATCAACTATTTCACACACAGCAACACTGACAAGGTATGTGGGGATAATTATTTCGGGGGAGTCGAAAGAAAATATCCTTCTGGACATTCGCTGCTATCCGTAGAAGACTCGTTTTCTATTCATCGAGGACTTGTCTTCTATTCGCAGAAGACTTGTCTTCTTTTCATAGAAGTCTTGTCTTCTATTCATAAAAGACTTGTCTTCTATCCATAAAAGACTTGTCTTCTATCCTGGAAGACTGCTTCTCTCCCATCCATAGAAGACTGCTTATCTTCCATCCATAGAAGACTGCCTGTCTCCCATCCATAGAAGACTACTTGTCTTCTATGACAGCATATCTTCTATCCAAAGATGACTTGTTTTCTATCTAGAAGACTTGGAAATCAATATCTAGAAGACATATAAAAATATTTTAATCCTGGAACCCTCTTGAAAATATGTCAAAGAATATCCAAATATTTTCCATTATTTTTCGAGTTTCAGCAAAAGGCAATGATAAGACGACGGATATGAGGAGGTAAGTTATTGTCCCATATTTACTGACGATATAAATACTTGTTGGACCATTTCAGAGCATTATTGGTTTCGGTTATGATTCACCTTCTCCTTTTGACATCAAACATGGCGAGGTCACAAAACGAAAATGGAGAAACATCATATGCCCAGATAATGAAGAGATTACGAGGCAACTGGATATCTCCCGTAAATTATTTGCAGGCCAGAGGTTATTTGCCCGAAGCAAATGTAAAGGAAGCGAAAATTTATAGGAATATTTAAAATTATCTTGGATTTGTCAAAATTTCCTTTAGGTTTTGTTCGACTGAAGGCCGTTATAGAAAATATATAATTGCATGTTCAATAGTTCAATGAAATAGGCATATTTTTTGGTACGAATTAGTGACATCAGAAATTTGAAAGTAGAAAGAGGTTTACTATTTCATATTAGTTGTGTTATCAGTTCGTAGTGAATTTCAACTATTTTTACTGTTTGCATTTGGCTCACACATAACTATTTTGATGAGCGCAATTGTCTCACGTCAATTTTGACAATTTTATTCTCTTTGAAAAAGAAGACACAAAACCATCACATATCATTACACCAACAACGCATGTACATTTATATTTAATACATAAATAATTTTGATTTTTGGCTCGATTTGTAATTACCATCAAAAAGTCGTAGTAGAAAATAGATTTAAATCGACTTTGGATTCCAAAGTAAAAGTTTCCTCTAGGAAATGTGAATAGTAAATAACAACTTGGCTTGACAAAGTCAAGTAGTAATATTGACCATGGCTAAATAAGAAAGGTTGCTAAACTTCAAAGAAACTAGGAAAAACTAAACTCTATAATGGAATAATAATGGAAAAAAAATAATAATAATATATTTTGATACGAGGTGATGAATTGAAACAAAAAAGGTGTTTTTTATTGCATATTATTTGTGTCATCAGTTCGTAGTGAATTACAACTAATTTTATTGTTTGCAATTGGCTAACACATAACTACAGTGTGTGATAAAAAATTGCAACAAAATCAAACGCCATATATTTTACATTTTTTTTTTAATTTTTTTGAATGAAAGCAAAAAATGCCGGAGATCAAATTTTAGAATAAGTTTTGATTTTTTCGAATTGGTCACCTTTGTCACGAATTATGGCCTTCAAAAGGCCAATGAAAACGTCACACGCTGCCCGAATGTTGCTCTGCGGTATTTTGGCCAATTCCCGGCGAATCGCTTGCTTGAGGTGACCGACACTTTGGTATTTTTAGTGCCAACCTTGCTTTTCAAAATACTCTAGACACAATAGCCCAACGGATTGGTATCCAGAGATTTTGGTGGCCATTGAGCGCTGGAAATGAAGCGAGGAACTTCATTTTGTAACCATTCTTGGATGGCGGGTGCTGAGTCCTGTTGGAATGTCTAAGGTCTGCGGCTAAAATGTTTGCCACTCAAGGCTTTAATACACCATCCAGCATATTTTCGCGATAATATTCGGCATTTATTCTGATGACACGGTCGATTATTACGAGCGGAGAGCGACCATCGGCTGTTATGGCGGCCCACACCATCACCATGGCCGGCGCTTGAGTTCTGGTGGCCAACCGAAGGTGCACATTTTCAGTTGACCTCTTTGGCAAGAAACACGATCTTTTTTTGTTTACAAACTGCTGGACAACGAATATTTTCTCATCGCAGAAAATCAAATTCGGCAGTTCACCACTTTCGGCCAAAGGTAGCTCTTTTGAGTCCACTGTCTTTCTGTTGCGGTGTAAGTTCTTGCACTTTTTACTTTACTCGAGCTAATTTTTTCAATATTTTCCGAATGGAATATTGCAATATGTTCAGCTCACGAGTCATTTTTCGGCCACTGCGACGCGGGTTTTGATCAAGTCGCTTCTTTACTATTCGAACCATTTCTGCTGATGTTGCTGTTTTCTTCCGTCCACTTCCTTGATATATGTCGGGCTACGCTACCAGTATCACGGTCGGGTAACGAGCGATGGTACGAGACACAAAAGATTTATTCACATTTAATTGCTAACGATTGCCACTTGTAGTTTTCCAGCCAAATGTAAAGAAATCGCACCATCACGCTTGAATTCCATCACGAATAACTTTTTTTTTCTGGAAAATGCTCACCAAAATGCTTTTGTACGCTTGTAAACAATATAATGAGCTGTCACTGGAATAATTTTAACAGCTGGCGCACGAGTGGCTTAGAAATTACAACAGTCTGAAGTTGGTTGCAGTTTTTTTCCATCTCACCCTATATGCTCCTTCAATTCACTTACTGTTATGGTTGATGTTATCATATTAGTGTTATCATTTCGTAGTGAATTACCGCTTTTTGCCGAGCGCAATTGTCTCACGTCAATTTTGATCTCGTTGAAGAAGGAGACGCAAAACTACCACACATCGTTACACGAACAACGTATGTATGTAAATTTACATTTAATGCATAAAAGCGTCCACTGCCAGATGATCCAAATCCAATGCAACAAACGATATGTATTAATTTTGGTTTTTGGTTCGGAAATCGATTTTAGATTCTGTGTGAGATTTTTACCAAAGTAAAAGTTACCTCAAGGAAATGTCAATAGTCAATCACTACTTGACTTGAAAAAGTCAATTGTATTATTGATCATGGCTAAATAAGTAATGGGGCTTATCTTGTGTAGGAACATGCAACAATTGGTTTTGAATAATGATAATAATAATAACAATAATAATAATAATAATAATAATACTATTTTCAAAAATTGTCAACTTCATCCAGGGTCGACCAACAGCCTTGAACCGCAAATCTGTCCATTTTCATTTGGCAATTATGCCATTCGATAATCATTCAACGTTAGTACATATTTTAGTACTTCTGCATGTACGTTTTTCCGCAAATGTTTACATCGCCGTCTTTCATATACTTTTGGTCAGACATTCTTTTTTTTTTTTTTTTTGTTTTAATTTTTTTTTTTTGCTTAACTGTTTCATTTAATAACAATAGGAAAATTCTATTTTTGAAAAAAAAAATGAAACGGAAATTTGTTTACCTTTCGGACGTCATTAAACCGCGAAGTTCTTGTTCTTGTTTTTAGTCCGGCCGAACAAACGCCCACTGGGGACCCAGCAACATTTGTTTATTTGTGACGTTAAACTGCTCTGATTAAATGATGTGATGCTACTATTTTGGTTAGGTGGACGTAACAATAATGGCATGGATGAAGAATCAATTTTTAGGGGACATTAGGGTCTTTCGAAAAAGTTGGGTACGAAAAGTCGTAAATTGCACAATGCACTGAACCGAATAGTATTCAGCTCATTATTATACCCTCCACCATACTATGGAGGGTATAATAACTTTGTCATTGTTATGGATCGCGTATGCAGGTCCACGTCTTCGTATAGTCCCATATAACGATAACTCCCGATATTCGATATTTTGATTATTTTAGCGCCATTTTTCACCGAAATTGTTTCACATTTTGTATTTGAAGTTCGGAATCGGTACTACAGTCTATGACAAAAATTAGTTATGAGGGTCCTTCATGTGATTGTCTTGTAGAAGAACATAAAATCTATAAATACCGGGAACCGCTACGACCCATATATGATTGAAGATTTTAAAATTTTGAGGATTTCCTTGGAAGGTGTCTATTTTTAAAAGAGTATTGCAGATTCATACAAAGTATTATCTTCAATATTAAATTGCTCATTTTAATTGATCCTGAATGGGTTAAAACACAAATTAATTCCGCTAATTGAATTAAATATATTATTGAGTAATAAAAAAAAAATCTGCAATATGAAATCAATTCTAAAAATCAACAAAAGATCGAATTAGTACATTTTTATCTCAATACTCAACATTTCCTCATTCAAGTCAAGTCGCTTCGAATCGATTAGCAATGAATCGACGCTGTGGTATTCCCCGAATCATAAAATAACGTCACACACCAAAGAATGCTGATCAAGCGACCTGATGCCAAAGTGGACGACCATATCGACACATAAGAATATGAATGTGACAAGCGGCAAACGGATCTCAGAATAAACAAAAACATTTCCAAATCGGTTGCCAAGTGAGACAACGAAAACGAAAGAAACGTGTCGCATCTATTAACCATCGAAATATTCCAAGAAACCCAAAATATTGTATTTCACCAAAAAATAACTACATTTCGCATAGAGTTTGACCCCGCCTCCAGGCATAAATGGTGTGCTGCTCCTGGTACCGACCATTGCCATTTAATATTCAAAACTAATACCAATTATGGCCACAGCTTGCTGCTGCTGCTGTCGATGTTGCTATTATTATTAATGAGCGATTTGATGATGTTTTTCGTTTTTGTATAACGGCGTGACAATGAAGCCCACCCATCAGGCCAGCAAGTCGGTCAGTCTGTCGGTCACTCATAAAATCATGAAGTGTGCTGGCCCAGCTTGCCAACCTTCGTGTTTGGAATGCCATCTTTCGATTTACGATCTCTTCATTGCGTTGTTGGGCTATTTTTAGACTTACGACGTCATTTGCCAATAAAATTGGAATATGGACCTTAAAAGAAACGTTGAAAATTATTGAATGCCGCCACCTACCAACAAC